AGAACTCAGTGCACATGATGTCAGCCTGGTTCAGTGCCCAAATATGGAGCTCATATCAAAGACTGTTTGAAAACATAAGTAACCTTAGTGCTGGTGACTTTAAATTCTGAGGATGCCTCTGAGGAGTGTGGAGAGTCTGGTTGGACCTGGCAGTTTGTTTATTCCTTATGAAAACATTAGGTGTCAGGGCAATGGCTCAAAGGAAATGACTCTCACACATTCCTTTAAGTAGGGAGAAGAGAGGTATGCTGGTTCCTTCTATACCATATTAGGAATATGCCTAAGGGTCCCATGGAGGCAGAAAGGGGTCATACAAAACACTGAGGAGTCTCAGCTCAGACAGGGTATTAATTTGAGGGAAGAAAAAGTTGGGAGAAAAACAAACCTTCCAGCAATCGGGAAAGACTTGGGGAAAAAAGGAAGGGGCACTTTACCTTGGAATCTGAGACTCAGCAGCCAGGTGGGAAAGAGGATTGGCAGGAAAGAGGCAGGCTTTGAGGGCGGGGATGTGGATAAGTAAGCATTCTTTACAGATCCAAATCTGGAAGATGACCTTTTTCTATCACTCTGGAGTGTTTGTCCCCAGTGCACCTTTTAGTGCTAATTCTGGATTTGGGAGGTGGGGCTTAAATAGCTATTAAGTTCAGGTGAAACATCTAAGAAAACATCTATTTGATTTGAAGTTCTGTAATTCAAGTAATTCAGCATGTTCGTTCAGTTGGAAACAAAAATAGGGAATATTTTCTAGGTTCTTATGTCTTCCTTATATCTTTCCAGTTCTATTTGTTTATGTTTTTATTTTCATCCCAACTATTTGGCTTTATTTGCATTTTACTATTATAAATGACCTCAAGAAATCTTAGGAAGTGGGAGGTAAATATAATAAAATTCATAAGAGTTCTTCTTCTTTGTGTGCTGATAAGTTGTGCGGTGCTGTAACTACCCTGAAAGTTAAACAGATTACTTTGAGGAAACAAAACTAAGATTATACTGCAATCATTTAGCTAACGTTCTGGCTGCTCAGGCAAAATCTTATTCACTCTCGCCAACTTCTGTTTATTCACACCTTGCATCCAATCCAGCAGCAAAGCCTGAGACTTTAACCCCCAAATCGCTCTCAAATCAAACTTTTCTCACCACCTCCATTAAAACCCTCCTTGGCCAATCCTTGAAAGGAAGCTTGGGTTGCAATTGTCTCCTAATGCTTCTAACTTGTCTTCCTCCTTCTATCCTGACTCCCTATTCTCAATCCAGCAGCGGAAGGGTCCTTTGAAAACCTATCATTTTCTCCTGTTTTTCATCTTATTTGCAATAAAAACCAAAGTCCTTATTATGATCTGCAAAGCTAAGGTTGTAACTTCAGCTTCCTCTGAGCTAACCAGTTACTCTTCCCCAACTCAACCCTTCTGCTCCTTACTACTCATTAAATATGACAGCACTCAACTGCCTCCGAGCTTTACTAGTTCTCAATTTTCCCTAAATACCTGCATGGCTTGGTCCTTTACCTCCTTCAGTTCTGTGCCAAATAGAATTTCCACAATGCTTTCCATGATTATATGTTATAACCACACTCCCCTCCCCATCCTGCCCCCAAATCACTAAGCCTACTTTGCAATTCTCCATAGCGCTTATCAGTGCTTCACCATACTTATTTGTTAGTCTCCCCAGTTAAGAATGTTTGTTAAGACCTTTTTCACTAGTTTATCCCCAGATCCTAGATCAATGCCTGACCCAATGTATGTTTCAACAAACATTTATTGGCTAAACATTGAATAAGGTAATAATCAGGGTTCCTCTTCTACCTAGGTGAAGTAGATAGCACTAGCCCATACCCTTGGGAAGCTGAAAAGTCATGTTTACTCCTCACTTCTTGTTTACTCACCTGTTTTCCCCAAATCATATTAACATGAGTTTGCATTCCACAATTAAAAGGAAGAATTAAATTATACTAGTTAGTTATGCTTGCTCTTCAGGGAGAGGCCTCTCAAAGGATAGCCATGGACATCCTTGCAGGTTGCAAGCTGCACACAAATGTTAGCTGCGGGGTCATAAGTGAAATCCTGCCTGAGTTAACTCGATTAGTTCTGTGCCTGACCTGGGGTTGCATTGCACTGGAGGTCATTCCAGAGGGTTTTTCTACTTCTCACAAAGGCAGGAAATGTGATGGGGGCAGAAGAAGTATGAGAGAAAGGAGGACAGGCTAGACATTAGGGGTTAGGTGTGTGAGGAAGACTTACTTTGAACCAAGAAGGCTTGTATTCTCTTTGAAGTTGCTTGCTTCTTTTATTTACCTTTTATGTACCTGCATTATCTATTTTTAAGGAAGGAAAAAATGTATATGTGACATCATCAACACATTGACATAATTTACCCTGAAATATAATAGATGGATCGATAGCAGAGCCTTCCTTAAGAATGAGTCTGCTGGATATCTTCCATTTGCCCTGCAGATCTATTTTCTACCCGCTGCACCCTGTTCTGTGCCCTGTGTGGTTGGTCCACATGAACCACATCAATCAGCTTCCTTTCTTCTGCTATCCAGTTGGGTTCATCCGATGTGGAACCTCAGAAAGATATTAGAAAGTATGAGTTTAGTTTATCTATTCCCTTAGTTCCAAAGTCATAGCTTTCCTCAAAGTAGCCCTCTCTAACAGCTCTCTCTTTTTGGATGCTTGTAACTGCTCCCTCACCCAAGGAATTGCACTGTCTTTTGTACATCTTCCCTATACTTTTGTTCCTAGTCTCTTCAATGAATTGTCTTGAGTTATCTTTGTTTGAAAGTACCATATGTCTCTTGCTGGAACCCTGGCTATTATATATGTTTCATAAGAGGGAAGAGAACTCTAAGGAGATTGTAAAGAAGGAGAAGAAGGCCTGGGTCAGAGATAGGGTCAGAAACAGGACCCAGAGAGGTCAGAAGTAGTATCCAGGAGGACACCAAGATGAACCAACCAACCAGGGCATGGACTTTTAGAGTTAGAAGGAGACTTTGAGTTTGTTTAGCCCATAGCCTTCATTTCGCCATCTGAGGGAAATTGAGACTCAGAGAGATTTAGTGACCTTGTCCAAGGTCATGTGACCAATTGGTAACAGAGTCCTAATTTGTACCCAGATGTGAACCATAAGCTCATTACTCCATCATAGTCAACAATTTTGCCTAGGGCCAGCCATGGAACAAATATACTCTTTTCTATACACAAGTGCTGGCCTTGCTCTTTTTCTAATGCTTCAAAAAGTATAAATGTATATGTATCCCGATCACTGGGACTGTACTCCATGAGATCATACCCAACGAGTCAAATAAATTCTTTCTCCAGTGGTGACTATGGTAATCATTTCTTTTCCTGGCCACATCATTTTTGATTTCTGGTTTGCTGACTCATTTCCTGTGTTTCATATTGTTCTTTTCTATGATGCCTTCTCACATCATGGAATTTTACATTACTTGGAGAATATTCTTATTTGCATAATGGTCGACCACTAGATTTTAAATAGAGAGTTATCTATAGTGACTAATGCTACAGATTCAGTCATCTGTCTTCTAAATTGCCCAGCCTTTGAAGTTCTTCAGAAAAGAAACACAGGTACTTGTTTTTCCTTATCTATAAAATGGTAATAATAATGTCTCTCTGATCGGTCTGGAGGGAGATTTAAATTAGATAATCCATATAGAGCTCTTAGAACTGTAGCTGGCACATAGTAAGCCATCAATTAATCTTAATTGCTATTGTTTACTCGCATTCCACGCTACAACTTTCCCGTCTGTGTTCTCTGTTTCTTTCTTCTGTATTTTGGGATGTATGTGTGTGGGAGGAGGGGTGAGCCCTTACTCTGCTTTTTGGCTGGAAAAGCAGTTTCTAGATTAAATCCAATCTTCAAAATGATTCCTTCTTTGGACCATTATGATTTTCATGATGTTTCTCTTGTAACCCTATTGAATAGAGGGCTCATACTGAGTGCTATATCAAGTCTTCTGGGATTTTCCATTTTAGACATTTTAAATTTCCTGCCTGGGAGGCTGTATTTGCTTAAGGGATTAAGTTTAACTTCACAAATGTTTATGAAGCAAATACTATTGACTAGATGCTAGGGATACAACGGTGATTCAGACAACACCCTCACCCCAGAGAGCTTCCAGTCTCCCAGGGGTGTTTTTTTTCAGCCACATCTTTGCTCAAGCCTGTGAACCAGGAGGCCACATCAGTCTAATGTGGATTACTAAGTGCCAGGTCATCAGTGGATTTGGCCCCAAATCAGCAACCTGTCCAAATTTGATCCCACATACTTCCCAGTAACATTAGTGGGAATTTGGAGGGTGTATCTCAAAAGAATTTTATTCACTCTGCATTCTTTCTAAGCACACGTCCCAGGAAGTTTGATGCTTATCTGCTCTTCTCAGGCTTCAACATGCCAGCCACTCACTGCTGTGGAACTGCTAAGCATACTTGAGACACTTGGTTCTTCAGAATGGTGATACGGGGACAGAAGAAATTTCTAAATCGTTAGATCTAAAAGGAGCCCGTGGAGAATATCCAGAAGCCAGATTCTAAAATGTAGCTCAAATCGTGCATTTTACTGATGAGTTTACATTGACAAGGTTATGACAGATTATTCAAAAAGGCTCTGTGACAGCCCAAGAGTCACCCAGTTGGTTGTGGTTTAGGCAGAACTAAAAGTTGAGTCTTCTTTTCTTGCTGTTTCCTGTAATTGTAGAGTGTCTGATATTCCAGTTCTCAACTTTTGTGATGCTATGAGCCATTATCATATCTGTCTAGAAGGTCTCAGCATTAGCAATTTGATTTTCTTAAAGGCCAAACAGAGTTTATAAAGAACTGGGAAAATGATTTAATTTGCCATGAAGATATGTGATTATTACCCCCTCTCAGGGAATTCCTTTCCATAATTAGGCTTTCACAAATGCAAAATGCCTCCATCACTCAGAGCGGCTGTGTGAAGGTGCTTGGAAATTAGTGCCGTTAAGTTCTATGTCATTGCCCCAGGTCTGTCCATGCAGCCCTGCTCCTGGGGGGAGAGGGAAATGGTGGGAATGAAGAAAGAGTCAGCTGATGAAGAACTACTTCTTCTGAAATCAACATTCAAAAAGGTAAGATGGAATTGTTTCCTATTTTATATTTTGCCCAGTTGGTTACATACGTGCCCCAGTGAAATTATAGTCCGAAAGAACCTATAGAATTTTTTGCAAGAAGAGAACTTGAGAGATCAGTTCAGGAGAAAGGAGGCTAACTGAAAAGCATCCCCTGTAGAAAGATAAGACGCTAATTTTTAGAGGCACCCGGCAGTTAGAAAATCAATTTTTCTTAACATTGAGAATTATTGAGTGGCTGGAAAAGCTTCTTACTCTATGAAATATAGTCACTGTTTAGTGCCTTTCCATTTTATTTACTATTTAAAGCACACAACAGCTAGTTAACCAACTACTTATAAAATATATTTAATGTTTAGAGGCACTCAGTGTGGTTATAAAATGATTTTAAGGGTATACAAATATGGTACATTAACCACATTTCATGAACAATGGTTCCCTCTGGAAAAACAAAAATGTTTTCCCTGGCATCCTGCGGCATCTCCTCCTGAAGTTTGTAAATGACCCATACTGCTCAAACAGGCTGCCTCGCTGGCTTTTCATGCCAGCCACTTTAGAGCACACACCAGAAAGATCAATATAACCCCTGCGTAAGTGATAGAGCACCGTGCACTCAGAGGCTGTTAGCCTCTCCGATAAAGAACGGCTTGACAGGCGCAGTGAAATTAAGCAGCATGTACAAAACCCCAGTAAAGAGGTTGTAGGGCGGCAGTCTTTTCACGGCACATGGCGGATTGATGGGTGCACTGTGACACAAGATGCATTGAGATGAGACTTGGTCCCTGCCACGTGTATGCATTAGCAAGTTTATGGCCTATGAAAACATGAGGAGTGTCTAACAAAGGATGGGAAAAGAATGGAGCCTTTTTCAAAGGAACCTGCTACAGAGAATTATGACAAACAAGACATAAAGGAGCCAGCCCAGCATAAACTTAACATTGAGGGAATGTTCAATCTTATTTATTTCCACGCAATATCCTAATTCCCTGAAAACACTCTACATCACAATGTGCTAATCTCCCTCTTTCATTACTGAAACTCCACGGCATTGATTATTGAGGAAATGTGATGGAAATGCTGTTTTTAATTTCCCCTTCATGTCATAAGCTGAATGAGTGATGATGTTCACTTCTTGTTTACTTTGCCATTCTGCTGCATACAGCCTGGCAGAAGGGCTTATGACCCAAATGCGGACCACACTTAAGTTGGAGAAAGGAAGGATGCAAAGACAGAGATTGAGGGCAGCTCAGTGTAAATCCATACTTTTTCTCATTACAGGAGGATACTATTTCTAGTAAGAGTGATCAGTAGTAAAATTCTAACAAAGGAGAGTTGATGCAGAAGTATACCAATTTTTTAACCAAAAGTTTAAAAAGTGCATAAACTATGAAAGAAGTAGACAGTATTAAAAAAAAATACACAATAAAAATTGTATACATGCACTATGCTTTACTTCTTTGAGCCATTTCAAAATGTGCTGGATGAGACTTCTGGTTTCTGGTCTAGCATGCAGGGAGTTTGGAAGTCATTACTCCATTCTAACAAGGAAAAAGCTGAAAAAACTGAAAATCAACAACTCTTCTTAGATCTTTCAGAGTACGGAGGTCACAGGGGAAACTGATGCCTCCAAAATTAGAGAGACAGATAGGCAGATATTGAGAAACACAACTTACTAGAACAGAAACCCCCAAGCAGAAAACTTTGTGGGAACCAGTACTAGGAAAACCTAAACTGTAATTGACAAATTGCTGGAAGCTCAGTATGGACAAATCTGAAAGCCAAAGGTTCCGGAGGAGCTCCGTCTCAGGGGAACCCCCACACTTTTGTGAGTTTTATCTCCAGGAGATCTTCTAGGTTCTCACAGTCAAGATGAGAGAAAAGTTCTCTCTGATTCTGAGAGGAGGAAGGGAAAGTAGCCATGTGGAAATATGCCCAGTGCATTCTGTCCTTAACAAGGCCTACGCTCAGGAGAAACGATTTTATTAGAGCCTAATCAACCTGGCAGAAGGGAAACATCCAACTCCTGACTCCTGTTGTCATCTTGTCCCATCCAAAGGGTAGGGGACTGCAAAGTATTTGTGAAGGTTACAGCGCAGAGGCTAAGGCTCATGAGAGACTGAGACTTAATCATAGGACTATAGAATGCTTCCCCCTCCTTACCCCCAACTTCGGATCATATCGCTAAAGGCTTATTTGTTACAGTTTCTTTTACCTAGTGTATCATGTCCGGCTTTCAATAAAAAATTACAAGGCGTACTAAAAGGCAAAGAGACAGAGCAAGCATCAGAACCAGACTCAGAAGCAGCAGGGATGTTGGAATTATTGGATTGGGAATGTAAAACAACTACGATTAATATGCTAAGGGCTGAAATGGAAAAAGCAGAAGACATACAAGAACAGATGGGTAATATAAGCAGAAAGGTGGAAATTCTCAGAAAGAATAAAAAGGAATTGTAGAAATAAAAAATGCTGTAACAGAAATGAAGAATGCCTTTCATGGGGTCATTAGTAGACTGACACAGATGAGGGAAGAATGAGTGAGCTTGAGGGTATGTCAATAGAAATTCTAGAACTAAAAAAGAGAAAAAAAGCTAAAAAAAATAACAGAAAATCCAAGAATTGTGGGACAACTACAAAAGGCTTAACGTAGGAATAATGGGAATACCAGAGGAGAAGAAAAGGAATGAAGGACATATTTAAAGCAATAGACTAAAGAATTTCCCTCAAATTAACATCAGGCCCAAACCATAGATCTAGGAAGCTCAGAGAACATCAAGCAGGATAAATGTAAAAAAATCAACATCTAAGCATATTATATTTAAACTGCAGAAAATCAAACATGAAGAAAAAGTCTTGAAAGAAGCCAGAGAAAACATCTTACCTATAGAGAAGCAAGGATAAGAATTATATCAAACTTCTCCTCAGAAATCAAGCATACAAGAAGAGAGTTAAGTAAAATATATACTGTGTTGAGAGGAAAAAACAAACAAATGAACACTAACCTAGAATTCTGTATCCTGTGAAATTATCCTTCAAACTGAAGGAGACATAAAGACTTTCTCAGACAAGCAGAAATTGAGGGGATTTGTTGCCAGTAGACCTACTTTGCAAAAAATGTTAAAAGAAGTTCTCCAGAGAGAAGAAAACTCAGATCTATATAAAGAAAAGAAGAGCATTAGAGAAAGAATAAGTGAAAGTAAAATGAAAACTTTCTTTTATTCATAAATGATTGAACAGATAGTTTGTTTAAAATGAAAATAACAACAATATATCTGATGGTTGTGGCTTATGGATAACGTTGCACTACTCATGAAGCAGTATAGCGTTATTGGAAAGTAGACTTGGATAATTTGTAATGTATCCTGAAAACTCTAAAGCAACTACTTAAAAAAGTAAAAAGAATAGAAGTATAATTGATATTCTAAGAAAGGAGAAAAAAATAGAATCTTACAAAAAGTTCACTTAAAACAACAAAAGATAGGAAAAGAGTAGAAGACAAAAACAGGAACAAAGAACAAGGGCAACAAATAGAAAACAGTTATAAATATTGTAGATATTAATCCAATTATATGAATAATCAATTTAAATGTCAGTGGTCTCAATACACCAATTAAAAGACAAAGATTGTAAGAGTGAATCAAAAGATCCAACTATCGTTAGGTATAAGAAACCAATTTAAATATAAAGACACATAAAAATTAAAAGTAAAGGGATAGAGAAAGATATATCATGCTAACACAAATCAAAAAAGCTGATGTTAAAGCAATGAAAATTATGAGGGATAAAGAAAGACATTATGTAATGACAAAGGGCCAATTCTCCAAGAAGACATAACAATCCTTAAAATGTATGCACCTTACAAGAAAGCATCAAAATACATAAGGCAAAAATGGATGACTTGAAAGGAGAAACAGATGAATCCACTATTATAGTTGGAGATTTCAGCACCTTGTATCAGTAATGGACAAATTCGGTAGACAGAAAATAAGTAAAGAAATAGCTGAACTCTACAATACCATCAAACAACTGAATATAAATGACATCTGTGGAATACTTCATCCAACAAGAGCAGAATAAGCATCCTTCTCAATCTCACATGGAACCAAGATAAGGGAATAGCTGACCTCCACAGTACCATCAAACAACTGAATATAAATGACATTTGTAGAATACTTCATCCAACAAGAGAAGAATAAGCATCCTTCTCAAGCTCACATGGAACCAAGATAAACCATATTCTAGGCCATAAAACACACCTTAACAAATTTAAAAGTATAGAAATCACAGGATATCTGCACTCAGACTACAGTGGAATTAAACTAGAAATCAATAAATGAAGGGTACTTGGAAAATCTTAAAATACTTGGAGAATAAACAACACGTGTCTAAATAACACATGGGTCAAAGAAGAAACCTCAAGAGAAACTTAAAAATATTTTAACTAAATGCAAATAAAAATACAACTTATCAAAATTTGTAGATGCAGTAAAAGTACTTAAAAGGCAATTTATAGCATTGATTGCAAGTATTAAGAAAGAAGGAAGATCTAAAATCAATATTCAAAGCTTCCACCACAGATAACTAGAAAAAAAAAAAAAGAAATTTAAATCTAATGTAAGAAGAAGAAAAAGAAATAATACAAATTAGAGGAGAAATCAAAGAACTTGAAAACAGGAAATTCATAGAGAAAAGCAATGAAACCAAAAGCTGGTTCTTTGAAAAAATAACCAGGATAACTAAAAGAAAAAGAATAAAGACACAAATTACTGATATTAAAAATGAAAGTAGAAAATAACTACAGATGTCATGGATATTAAAAGAATAAGGAATATTATAATAAACAACTCTATTCTCACAAACTTGATAATCTAAATGAAATGGACCAATTCTTTGAAAGACACAATCTGCCAGAACTCACACAAGAAGAAATAGACAATGTGAATAGGCTTATATTTATTAAATAATTGAATCAATAATTAATAACCTTCCAAAACAGAAAACACCAGGTCCAGATGGGTTCACTGGTGAATTCTACTAAACCTTTAAGGAAGAAGTTATATCAAGTCTCTACAATTTCTTTTGGAAGATAGAAGCAGAGGAAATATTTTCTAATTCATTCTATGAGGCCAGCATACTGTAATACCAAAACCAGATACAGACATTATAAGAAAAGAAAATTATAGACCAATATCTCTCATGAACATAGGCAATAATACTCAACAAAATATTAGCAAATCAAATCCAACAATGTATATAAAGAATTATATACCAGCACCAAATGGGGTTTGTTCCAGGTGTGCAAAGTTGGTTCAATATCCAAAAACCAACCAATGTACTCTGTTGCATCAACAAGCCACAGATGAAAAATCACATGATCATATCAATAGATAAAGAAAATGCATTTGACAAACTCCAGCACTCATTCATGACAAAAACTCTTAGCAAACCAGAACTTGAGAGGAACTTCTTCAACTTGATTTTAAAAAGTATATAAAAACCTACAGCCAACATCTTACTGGTGAAAAACTATGACTTCTCACTAAGATCAGGAAGAAGGCAAGGATGTCCCCTCTCAACTCCTTTCCAACATCATACTGGAAGCCCTAGCTAATGTAATAAGACAAGAAAAGGAAATAGAAGGTATACAGATTGAGAAGGAAGAAATAAAACTGTACTTGTTAGCAGATGACATGACTGTCTATGTAAAACATCAGAGAATCTACAAAATTGCTCTGGGAACTACTAAGCGATTATAGTGAGGTTTCATGACACAAGGTAAATATACTAAAGTCAATTGCTTTCCTATATACCAGAAATGAACAATTGGAATTTGAAGTTAAAAATGCAGTCATTTACATTAGCATCCCCTAAAATGAAATATTTAGGTATAAATTTAATAAAATATGCACAATATTTATATGAGGAAAACTATGCAGTTCTGATGAAAGAAATCAAAGAACTAAATAAATGGAGAGATATTCCATGTTCATAGATAGAAAGACTCAATGTTATTAAGATGCCAATTCTTCCCAACTTGATCTATAGATTTAGTGCAATTCCAATGAAAACCCCTTCAAACTATTTGTGGATAGTGACACTTATTCTGAATTTTATATGGAGAGGCAAAAGACCCAGAATAGCCAACACAATATTGAAAGAGGAGAACAAAATTGGAGGACTGACACTACCCAAATTCAGGATTTACTATAAAGCTCTAGTAATGAAGACAGTGTGGTACTGGCAAAAGCATAGACAAAAGAATAGACAATGGGACAGAATAAAGAGCCCAGAAAGAGACCCACACAAATACCATGCATCACTTAATGGTGGGGATATGTTCTGAGAAATATGTCTTTAGGCAATTTCATCATTGTGTGAACATCATAGAGTGCACTTACACAAACCTTGATGGTATAGCCCAATACACACCTAGACTATATGGCATAGCCTATTACTCCTAGGCTACAAACCCGTACAGCATGATACTGTACTGAATACTGTGGGCAATTGTAACACAATAAGTATTTATGTATCTAAACATAGAAAAGGTACAGTAAAAATATGGTATAAAAGATCAAAAAATGGTCCACCCGTATAGAGCACTTACCATGAATGGAGTTTGCGGGGCTGGGAGTTGCTCTGGGTGAGTCAGTGGGTGAGTGACAAGTGAATGTGGAGGCCTAGGGCATCACTGGACACTCCTGAAGACTTTATAAACACTATACACTTAGGCTACACTAAGTTTATAAAAAACATTTTTCTTTCTTCAATAATAAATTAACCCTGGCTCACTGTAACTTTTTTACTTTATAAACTTTAATTTTTTTAAAACTTTTTGACCCTTTTGTAATAACAGTTGGCTTAAAACACACACACAGTGTACACAGCTGTACCAAAACATTTTCTTTCTTCATACCCTTATTCTATAAGCTTTTTTCTATTTTTAAATTTTTCTATTTTTTTTCACTTTTTAAACTTTTTTGTTAAAAACTAAGACACAAACACACGTTAGCCTAGGCCACACAGGGTCAGGATCCACAATATCACTGTCTTCCACCTCCACATCTTGTCCCACTTCAAGGTCTTCGGGGCAATAACATGCATGGAGCTGTCATCTCCTGTGATAACAATGCCTCTTCTGGACCACCTCCTGAGGAGGACCTACCTCAGGCTCTTCTTAAGGAGGCGTCGCTCTTTTCAGAAGTATGTCCACGGTGGTTTGCTTGGTTTGTTTCTTTTTTCATCATAGACTTGATTGTAAGCAGATAATGCACCATGAACAGTCCTCTCTACTACTGAAAATCTTTCAGTGTTGGGATCCCTGTGTTTTAAATTTTTTAAGGAGCTTGTTGAGGTCTGCATAAGCTTCTGCTAAATCCTTCACTGTGAATTTTCTTAGGGGTTCTTCATCTTTTTCTTCTCTTGCAGAATCCTTTTCTCTTGCCTCTTCTTCAGCTATGCATTCCCATTTCAGTTCCAATAACTCCTCATTAGTCAATTCCTCAGGAACTACCTCTAGGAGCTCCTCAGTGTCATCCTCAGCCACACTCAGGTTAAAGTAGTTTGCCATCTCAACCACAGCCTTACTGATTCTGCCACCTTTGAAGTCATGGATGAACCTCTTGAGTGTCTTCTTCCAGATGCCATTCATATACTCCTTGGTGACATCACCCCAAGCCCAAGCAAGGTTCTCGATGCAGTCATAGATGTTATAATCCTTCCAGAATCGCATGAGTGTCTTCCTCAGTTGCAGCAATAGTCTGGGCCAAGATCCTCCTCAGGTAGTAGGCCTTAAAAGCTGCTTTAACTCCTTGATCCACTGGTTGTATAAAAAAGATGGTGTTTGGAAGGAGAAATGGTGCTTTGATATTGGGATGAAGATCATCAATGAAAGGAGGATGTCTGGGAGCTTTATTAACAATAAGCAAAATCTCGAAAGTTATGTTATTCTCCAAACAGTACTTCTCCATTTCACTGGTATAGCAATTCAGGAGGGCATCTTGGGAGAGGAACTGAGTCATCCATGACTTCTTCTTGCTCCTGCAGTGCACTGGCAGTGAGTGCTTATCGATATGCTTGAAGGCCCTGCGGTTCTCAGTGTGCCAGACCATAAAGGCCTTCAATTTGTACCCTGCAACACTGCCCCCAAGCAAGACTGTTATTGTGTCCTTAAAAGCCTTGAAACCTGGCATTGATGTTATTGTGTCCTTAAAAGCCTTGAACCTGGCATTGACGTGGTCTCCTTAGGGATGAAAATCTTTTCAGGCATTCATTTCCAGAACAGGGAGGTTTCATCCACATTGAATATTTGCTCTGGCAAGTAATTTTCCTCCACAATCAGCTCATCTGAGTTTCCAAAAATTCTTCAGCTGCCTTCACATCAGTACTCGCAGACTCACCACTCACTTTCACATTATGTGATGAATAAGGATTCTTGAATCATTTAAACCACTCAGAGCCAGTGGGAAATTCAACATAGTGGTTGGGTCCAGCCTTTTCTCTCAACATTGAACAAATTTTCGCTTGGGCTGTGATCCTCACGGTGTTGAGAGGGTTATGCCGCTGTATTTGGTCTTCAATATAGGTCATTACAAGTTTCTCCATGTCCAATATAAACCCTTCTCGAATTTTTGTTAGTCTCGTTGCCTTCAATGAAGCAGATCCTTTAACAGCTTCCATCACTTTTTTCTTGCTATTCAAGATTGTAGCTATGGTGGAATGGGACATGCTTGACTGGTAAGCAATAACCATCACTGCTTTCCCACCTTCGCAGTCCTCAATCACTTTTAATTGTGTTTACAGGTCAATCACTTGACGTGGCTTCTTACTGGAAACATCAGCAGTGGATTTCGTACACTTAGGGGCTGTGGTGAACAAAACAACACAAGATTAAATCAAGGGCAAGAGAAAATGATGCAATCAAGAGATGCAGAGGGGCCGGCTCTGTGGCCGAGTGGTTAAGTTCGCGCGCTCTGCTGCGGCGGCCCAGGGTTCGGATCCTGGGCGCAGACATGGCACCGCTCGTCAGGCCACGTTGAGGCACCATCCCACATCCCACAATTAGAAGCACGTGCAACTAGGATATACAACTGTGTACGGGGGAGGTGATTTGGGGAGATAAAGCAGAAAAAAAAAAAAAAAGAAAAGATTGGCAACAGTTGTTAGCCCAGGTGCCAAGCTTTGAAAAAAAATAAAAAAAAAAAAAAGGAAGATTGGCAACAGTTGTTAGTCCAGGTGCCAAGCTTTAAAAAAAAAGAGATGCAGGAAAACATAAGATGTATGAGGCTGCTGCCAGAGTAACACGGCATACTGTTTTATAGCAAACTGTTTTTTTAATAAGTAGAAAGAGTACCATCTAAAATAATGATAAAAGTATAGTATAGTAAGTATATAAACCAATAACATAGTTGTTTATTATCATTATCAAGTATTACGTACTGCACACAATTGTATTGCTATACTTTTATATAACTGGCAGCCCATAGGTTTGTTTACACTAGCTCCACCACAAGCATGTGAGTACTGTATTGTGCTATGACATTACAATGGCTACCACATCAGTAGGCAATAGGAATTTTTCAGCTCCACTATAACCTTACGGGACCACTACTGCATATGCAGTCCATCATCGACAGAAATGGTGTTACGTGCTGCATGACTGTATAATCAACTGACCTTTGAAAAAAAGAGCAAAGGCAATACAATGAAGAAAAGATAATCTTTTCAATAAGTCGTGCCAGAAGAACTGGAAATCCATATGCAAAAAAATGAATCTGGACACCTACTTACACCCTTCACAAAAATTAACCAAAATGAATTAGATCTAAATGTAAAATGCAAAACTAAAAAAACTCCTAGAAGATAATATGGTAAAAAACCTAGGTGATCTGGACGATTGGGTTTGGTGATGACTTTTTAGATACAACACCAAAGGCAGGATCCCATGAAAGAAACAAATTAAAATTAAAATCATTACAATTAAAAACTTCTGCTCTGCAAAAGACACTGTCAACAGGACAAAAAGACAAGCCACACACTGGGAGAAAATATTTCCAAAAGACATACCTGATAAAATACAGTTATAGAAAATATCCAAAGAACTCGTAAGACTCAACAATAAGAAAACAAGCAGCTCATTAAAAGTGGGCAAAAGATCTGAACATACACCTCACCAAAGAAGATATACAGATGGCAAATAAGCAAATGAAAAGATGCTTAATATCACGTCAGTAAGGAACTGCACATTGAAACAACAAAGAGATACTACTACAGACCTGTTAGAATGGTGAAAATCCAAAATGCTGACACCACCAAGTGATGGCATGGATGGAGAGCAACAGGAAGACTCATTCATTGCTGATGGGAATGCAAAGCGGTACGTTTAATTTGGAAGACAGTTTGGCAGTTTCTTATAAAACTAAACATACCTTCATCATATGACCCAGCAATCGTGTTCCTTGGTATTTACCCAAAGGAGTTGAAAACTTATATCCACAGAAAAACCTGCACATGAATGTTTAAAGCAGCTTTATTCATAATTGCAAAACTTGGAAGCAACTAAGACCCGCAGTGGGTGAATGGATAAACAGTGGTACTTCCAGACAATGGAACATTGTTCAGCACTAAAAAGAAATGAGCTAGCAAGCCAAGAAAAGACATGAAAGAAGGTTAAATGCATATTACTAAGTGAAAGAAGCTCATCTCAAAAGGCTACTCATTACATGATTCCAACTATATGACATTCTGGAAAAGGCAAATCTATGGAGACAGTTATGGATCAGTGGTTGCCAGGAGTTGAGCAGAGGAGGAATGAGGAGAAGGAGCAGAGAGGAATTTTATTATTCTCCCAGGAATCGGAAATAGGAATTTCACTATTCACAGAATAGTGAAACTATTCTGTATGATACGATAATGGTGGATAGATTTCAGCATACATTTGTGAAAACTCATAGAATGTACAATGCAAAAGTGAACCCTAATATCACAAAAAGGACTTTGGATGATAATGAGGGATCAATGTAATTTCACCCAAGGCAACAAAGGTACCATCTTGGTTTGGGATGTTGATAGTTGGGGAGGCTGTGTGTGTGTGTGTGTGTGTGTGTGTGTGTGTGTGTGTGTGTGTAATCAGGGGGTATACAGGAACTCCCTACTATCCTCTCAATTTTGCTTTGAATTTGAAATTGCTCTAAAAAATAAAGTCTATTTTTTAAAAAATGTGCTAGGCATTTGATGAGCTTGAAAGTAGAGATTATATGTCCCTAATAGGAAAAAAAAAAAACATGTTTGAGTGAATGGAATACTTTTTTAAAGGATAAATGCTATTTTGAAGCACAGATAAATTTAATGAAAGAATCTGTAAGACGATTTATGGTGAAAGCTTTAGGGATTAAGATCTACAAACGCATGTAAAAGCTCATGGGGTGGAGGCTCTGGCGAAGAAGAACACGCGAGGCCGCCCAAAGGCAAGAGTAAGGAGCCTCGCCCTGGCTGCCCCGCTGATGGCCATCTGCCCAGTCCGTTCATCTCGCTGGGAAGGAGCGTAGGCCTGGTCTGGCTACTGAGGCCTTGCTGCGGGTGTGCCCGAGTCCCTCGGCTCAGGCGCCTTCGCTGGTGTCTGCGTGGTCGCTGGGGCACGAGGGGAGGATGAGGAGACTCTGCTCCGGTTCGGGCCGGGGAGAGGCTCTGCGGATGGCCCGGGCCAATCTCCGAGCGTGCCCGGCCAGCAGATCGGCCCTAGGACGGGGAAGGGCGCCGGAGACCTGCCGCGGCAGTAAGATGGGGGGAGGCCACACAAGCGCCCGCGTGGTGGGGGAACGCAGGTGGAGACTGGGGAAGGGGCACAAAAGGTCACCGCGGGCACGGAGGCACGAGGACGTGGGTGGGAGCTGGGTCCCCTCTGCTGTCCCAGGGCTGCCGCCTGCCCGCCGGGCCTTGACGTCCACTGGTGGGGCCGTCCCTGATCCCCCGGTCGCGGCGTGGCCACAGGGAGGTGCACGCCCAGGCGGCAGCCCCGCGGGCCAGCAGCAGCTGCGCGAGGTGGCGGCGCGCTCTCGAGCCAGGGACGCAGGCGGACCCTGGGGGTTGCGGGCCGGGCGCGGCCTCCGCGGGCCTGTCCTCGGGTCCAGTGGGAGGAGAGCTCGGGGGAGGGCAGAACCGCCCCAGAAAGAGAGGGCGGCGGGTGGCGTCGCTGCCTGGTGCGGGGCTGGGCACGAGGGGGACGGAGGCGGCGGGTGGGCGCCCTGAAGTCGCTCTCAGCCAAAGCTGACTTTGGCCCTGGCCGTGACCTCTGAACCCCGGGGGCGAGACCAAACCCAGCGGCAACGTCCGGCTCAAGTATGAGGGCCGTGTTGGTCATCGGGCCTGCGCATGCGTTCAGATCCCTCCAGCTTAGACCGCGGTTCCTCCGCTCTTCCGAGCGCATCCAGTCCACTGTCCGCTCTGTGTTCTAGATCGCTAGTGGGCCCCGTGTTGCATCTGAGATGCCTCTCTTTCCTCCTGGCTCTTGCTTTCTGTATGCCTTCCCGCCTCTACTTGAGAAATTCTTCATTGCTGTCTTGGTTCTCCTTCTGTGCTGCCACCTCCTTTACCGGCAGCATATGGGGAATGTCTCCACTAGGGAAGAGATGCCATTCCCAGGGGGAGAACCTCGCTGGGGACGGATCTGCCGCCAGGATTCCCAAGCAGTGATTGGCACTCAGGTCAGTTGGCACTAGAGGGTTCAACTCTGTTTTTTCTTTTAAGTAAACTACTTACTGTCGCCTCATTGTGGATTCTCATGCACTGGTAAGAAATAATACGGAGATTCCTGTGTACCCGTTAACTACTTTCCCCCGTGGATAAAATCTTGGAAGACTATAAGACAGTGTCACAACCAGGAAGTGGACATTGATGTACTGAGTATGCAGACCATTTTCTCACTGCAGGAATCCCTCCCTTTGCCCTCTCCTCACTGTGTCACCTCCCTGCTGTCCCATTCTACAAGTGCCCGGCAACTGCTGAGCTGTTCCTCATTTCCAGAATTCTGCCGTTTGCAGAGTCCAATATAAATGGAATTCTATAGTATATAACTTGCGGGGTTGACCTTTTTTCCCTCAACATCATTCTTTGGAGATTCATGCAACAGGTTCATTTTATAAACCCTAACCACCTGTTTTCTTCATTAGGAAGTGAGTTTCCCAGTGGTACCAACTTATCAGTACTCTGTTCCCTTTTTATTTGCAGAGTACTATTCTGTGGTGTGGATGTACCACAGTTGGTTTAACCATTTGACCTTTAAAAAGACTTTGGAGTTGTTTCTAGTTCTTGACCGTTATAAATCATGCTGCTGTGAACATTCCTGTGCAGGTTTTTGTGAGAACCTAGATTTTCATTTCTCTGGGATAAGCCCAGAACTATGATTGCTGGACTGTACCATGATTGCAAATTTAGTCCTTTAAGAAATGCCCAGACTGCTTTCCAGAGTGGCTCTACTGTTTTACATTCCCACCATGAAAATATGAGTGGCAGTTCCCTGTCTAGGATAGAGATGAACATCCTGGCTGTGACCTTTCTGGTTGTGTGCACCCTGGTCTCCTTTGTCCTTGGATTTGGATGTAAGCTTGAGGCTATATAATGCATGCCTCCTTCATTTTAGGCATGGATGCAAGCTTCCAGCCAGTGTAACCTTAGCCTCCTTACCCTTGGTGAGGAATGTGAGCTTCCTGCTGAGTAAATCCTTCTCCTGGCTGTCCTTGGTTGGAGATGCAAGCTTCTCAGACCTATTTTTAACCAATTTTGTAAGAGGTTAATAAACAATCTCCTTTTAAAATGCCCCTGTGATATCATATTTATCAGCCATGAAGATCTTCGTGTGAAACAGCTTATTTTGGAGCCATTGGAATTATTTTTAGTTATGACATATAAACCTAAATTCATAAAATCATAAAATAGCATGTATAAG